CTGTAAAACTCAGCCACGTGATCCGGGATGAGTTGGATCTAACTGTGAACAAGGTTATTTACTGGACAGACTCCACCTCAGTACTGAAGTGTATTAACAAAGTAACCAAGAGATTTCATACCTTTGAGTCAAACCATTTGACAATCATACATGATGGATCTACACCCCAGCAATGGCGTTATGTGAACAGAGAAGACAACCCAGCAGATGATGGATCAAAAGGGCTTAAACTGGATGTCTTGATCAAGAACGACCACTGGCTGACAGGTCCTAAGTTCTTATGGGAGGAAGAAGAATGCTGGCCAGCAATGGTCGAGATCCCAGTCCTTAAAGATGAAGATCCAGAAGTTAGAAAGGAGAATCAAATCTATGTAGGATCAGCGTGTTGCAATGTTATGGAAGAGCTTATGATGTACTATTCTTCTTGGTGGAAACTCAAGGTAGCAGTATCATGGTTGCTGCGCTACAAACAATACCTTAAGAACAAGATGCTACAGTGCAGAAAAGGGTCTTTAACCAAGCAGGAGTTTGAAGGGAAAGGTAGTCACCTTACGCTTGAAGAGCTTCATGAGACAGAGTATGAAATTCTATGCTGTGTTGAAATGAGAAATTTCCCTGAAGTAATTGCCCTCAGTCTGAAGAAGATCCAAGATTGGTGAAGAGATTACTGAAGAAAATGGGAGTTTCAATAAGCAAGTTGAACCCTCGATTCCATGATGGATTGTTGCGAGTACGAGGCCATATTGGACAAGCCCCTTTGTCTTATGACTTGAAGCATCCATTAATTTTGCCTTACAAGCATCATGTCACAGACCTGATAATCAAAGACCATCACCTGAAAGTGGGGCACATGGGCCAAGAGTCCGTTTTATCATCGTTGAGATATAAGTACTGGATCTTGAAAGGGAGATCTGCAGTGCGCTGAGTGCTGAGCAAATGTTTTGATTGTCCGAAGAGGAAAGCAAAACCTGCAGAGCAGTTTATGGCTGAACTTCCAAAGGATCGTGTGACCCCAAGTGAACCACCATTTACATATGTTGGAATTGATTGTTTTGGCCCTATGGAAGTGAAACAGGGATGGTCACATGCTAAGAGGTACGGCTGCCTCTTTACATGTTGGGTCGTGTGTGCAGTACACATTGAAATTTTACACTCAGCAAGTGCTGATTCTATGATCAATGCCATAAGAAGGTTCATCAGCATGCGGGGCTGCCCTAAAGAAATTCGAAGCAATAATGGGACAAACTTCACGGGAGCTGACAAGGAGTTGAGAGATGCTGTTCATCAGTGGAACCACTAAAGGATCAGCAATTTTTGTGCACAGAGGGAAAGCAAGTGGATATTTAATCCTCCAGGTGGAAGCCACATGGGAGGCGTGTGGGAGAGAATGATTCAATCTGCCAAACGAGTGCTAAAGGCTCTATTGAAAGAGCAAGTTGTGACCAATGAAATCCTCTCTACTGTGATGGCTGAAGTTGTTACCATTGTCAACAGTCGTCCCTTAAAGTATTGAAGATTTTGTGTCAAATCACCGTATTTTAATAATTTTCAACCTAACGTTATGCAATTTTCTGGCTGTAAAGTCAAGTAAACAACAATAAACCTACAATGAATTCAACTGCGTGGGCTTTGTAAGTGTAAGAAATTCGCACGGTTTTTGCTTAAACAGCAATCAAGAACTGCTTTGAATATTAAAGCTTTTGTCCTGAAATATTTCTTGCTCACTTTCATCTTAGGCTTGCTTCTCACGGAAAAGTTCCATGTAACATTTGCATATTCAATCCAAAATCTGATCCACATACCTGTTTACACACTTGCGAAAACATTTAGCGGTTTTCGTGTTTCCTCTTGATTTTAGAGTAAAATATTAATATGCACCTATAATTTTTTAATGAAAATAAGCTATTTAACTATCGCTATAAATGTGTTACTTTCTTTGTTGTGTTTTTAACATAGGCAAATTAGGACGTGCCTGACAAACAATGGAATTGGTGTATAATATGCACCACAAAAGTGCGTATTATACATTGGGTAAATATGGTAATCAATTCTTGAATATCATTTTTTATCCTACTGGTGGAGGGAAATGCAATTAATGTTCCAATAATAATATTGAATGAACCAAACTATCTTTCATAACTAAAGTCGATGCACATGTGCTGATCGATACTGCAACTTTGAATTCTAAGCTCTGTACAATCACAATAACATCTTTTGTAGCTTTTGACATTTAAACCACATTACTACTTAGGCAGGAAATGAATCAAGACTGTTGACAGTTCATAGAAGATGTTGCTTACATTTATAAGGCTGTAAAACTATGCAATTAGCTTTCATCCCATAAATGCAAGAATTCTTAACTCAGTAAAGTCAATATTGGCCAAAGCTTTTGCATTAAGGGTAATTGTAAAATCTGTTTATGTAATTGATTATGTAAAAACCATTTACTATTATAATACCACTTTTTTGCACTTTAAAGCAAAAGTACCAAGAAAGTGACACACGTATTTGAATTTACACTCTCTAAGTTACCTCAGGCCTTGTCTTAATCATTCAATTACCAGTAAGTGGTGAACCCTTTGTCATCTCTTTCGAATATTGCATGACATATATTCTTAAATCACCTTGACTGATAATTTAAAATGGTCATAAGAGTGAGTGGAATCCATTTCGGTCTGTAATCATACTTCAAAAGATCACAAAATCAGACATCTAGAATGTGAGTCTGATTTGTCAGTCAAGAGTATGATAACAGAGTGACCAAACTGGACAACACAAAGTCCTGTTACTGATTTATCATAACCTTTGAATAAAACAAATAATTTCATTTGAGAAAATATCCCTGACAGACATATTTGCATGTCTAAAAAAAATTCCTCCATTTTGGAAATTCCCCAGTTTTGTATGGTTATAGTGGCTGTTAATTGTTATGGTTATTGCAATCAATTCTGCATTTGGTAGATTTAGCTTAGTGATCGCCTGCTTTAACTGTTTGACCACAAGTGTCTGATTAGAGCCAAGTGTTCATGCTCAAAATAGGAAACCTTTTTAATTCTCTTTTTTCTTATTATGCCTGAATAGTGTAATGGGGAATTTTCTCTTGATTTGTGCAAGTCTTGAAGGCATCAATTCTGAAAACAATTAGGTACAAATGATGCCGTTGTTTGGCGAAAGCTTGGATTTTAAAAAAAATTTTACTTTTTACAGCAATTTAAGGCCTCATTCAAACTGTTTGAATGCAATACATAGTGTAGTAAGGTGACAAGGTCATGAGGAAAAAATGTGTGTGGCAGCAATACATGATGGAAATAGGTTATAAGGTAGTACGTAATAGGGAGTAAAAAATTAAATAAATGTGTCAGCAGTACAGCATAATTAGGTAATGAGGAGTAAAATATTGTATGTGGCAGCAATACATGGTGAAATAAGATAATAAGGAAAAAAAGTATGTGGCAGCAAGCAATACACATTCAATGTAAGGAAATGTAGTAGGAAATGTAGTAAAGAAATGAGGAGAAAAAGTGTATAATTATGTGGCAGCAATACATGGTGTAATAAGGAAATAATGAGTAGAAAAAAAAAGAACCTGGTGGCAATACGTGGTGAAATAAGGTAATAAGGAGAAAAAGAAATTTAGCCAAGAATTTGATAGTTGGGTGGAAATAGTTAGCTTGTTTTAAATTAATAAGTTGATCTAGCTCTTTTCTGTTGCAGTCCCAAAGGGAGGAAGCATCATCAATTTAATACACTTTTGGCTTGGTATTGTTTTGTTGGATTCATTTTTTTTCAATATCTGCTATGAAATGTTGGCAAATGACACTGGCAGTTTGTGCCCAATTAGCCCTTCCATGTGTTTGGAGGAAGTTCTCCTCAAAGAAAATAATTTTCTTTAAGGATTAAGCCAAGCATTTCCCTGAACAGGTGAAACTTTTCTTATACTCCACATACTATATTTGTTCCTTCTTCTTGAGGTATATTTGTGTACAAGCTAGAAATTTCCATCAATATTAGAAGAGTATTTTTGCCCACCTTTGTTTTTCAAGTTGTAAAAAAGATTGATAAAAGCAGTGGTATCCTTCATAAAGGATTGTTGTTGTTTATCTTATTACCTTGTTACACCATGTATTGCTGCCATATAATTTTTCCTTATTTAAGTTATTACACCATGTATTGCTGCCACATTCATTTTTTCTCCTTATTACCTTATTACGTGCATTGCATCACGTGTTGCTACCACATACATTTGTTTCTCCTTATTACCTAATCACCTTAATACAGGGTGTTACAAAAACAAGACCCTCAAAAACTAAGACCTAAGACCTAAGACCCGTCTTAGTTTTCGAGGTTACAAAAACTAAGACCCCCTAAAATCAAATCCTTCTAAATATAAAGTTAAATTGTAACCAAAACAGATCTAAACTATCAAATTATCCCCTGTCCGACCCTTTCCACTGTGTTTTAGAAAAACATTCATCTCCAATGGAAAGCCAATTTTATGATTTAAGGATAAACAACAAAATTTAAGACCAATAGGGGTAAGGCATATTTTCAGTGCACAATCATTATACGTAGGTAGTGTATGGCTTTCATCCTGTTTGTAAAGCCACAATGCTGATAATATATGTCTGCAAATTGTTAGAGGAAGAATGATCATCTAGCATGCATATATATGCTGAACTAAAGCATTGAAAATAGCCAGGCTAGTATTTTTATTTCAGAGATTGAAGACATTAAAAAGAGAGACAATTCACACCCATACAAAATCTTCTTTAAAAACCTTTCTAACATTTTCAATGAAATATTATTATAATTAAGCACCAGGTGCATAAAAAAACCAAAGTCAATTCAGCTTATCATAGTACTTAGCAGCATAATCAGAATTATGAGCAGCAATTTGCATAATGTCCAAAAACCAATTCAAATAGCCATATCAAGAACTGGTATTATTTTTGAAAGCTTTTAACTGTCAGTACATGTAAAAGCCAGCATACATTGCTCACCTGATGTGCTCCTTTGAGAAGCTTGCCACAAGGTTTTTTCCTGAGAACAAATTCTTTTCCATCCTTTTCCAGGTAAAATGTTGGATTGGATTGCCCAGAGCTAAGGAAAAATTTGTTGGAAAAGAAATGGGGATTAGTGACAACACATACTGTCAGATAATTCATTTAAGATAGATGACTCACAAACAACATCTTGACTGAAACCGTAAAAAAATGAACAGATGAAAATTATATCACAGTTGACTTGGTGCAGAACAGACCAATGCCAAATGTATCAACAAATTCAGAAATGTATCTGGTAACATTTACACGGGTCAAAATAAAATTGAAAGTTTCACAGCTGATGAGGTCTGACTACAGTTAAATAATTCTTAATAACTGAGGAAACAAACAGAAGAAATTCTCCAAGGACCATTTTTTAATTTTCCTAAGATTTGCCAAATATTTTGGGATGTAGGTTAGAAATTAGTTAAAAGCCATCTCTTCATCTTTCTAAAACATGACTGTTTCACTCAGTTATCAATTTTGTGATTTATTCATTCTTACTGGTTTGGTTTGTAGCTTGTGACATTTGTAGCTTGTGACATTTGTAGCTTGTGACATTTGTAGCTTGTGACATAATATCATTCATTTCATCGTACCTCTCTTACAAATTTACACTGAAATTTGAGTTGAAGAGTCAAAGTGTGTTCATATTATTTCTTTGGTATCAAAAATGCATGAAAAGAGTTTAGATTATGAGATTTCACAATTAACCACAAGTATAAACAAGGCATTCTATGCAACTTTTTACATTTATACCAAGGCTAATCATGATAATTCTATAAGGTTTAGAGAAAATTGTGTTCTTGTTCACCCAAAATCAAAATGACAAAGTATTTGCCACAATCAGGTAGTTCTTTGTGTTTTTGTCAAGGAAGTTTCTGCATGGAAACAGAAAACTTTTACTAGTGTGAGCCAAACTTTTTTCCTTCCCTTTGGAACATCTGGTTGTCACTCTCTTCTTCTAATAATTCATTAGTGTCATATGCCTTCAGCACTTTTGTGTTTCTCAGATGTAAAGTAAAAAGGGCAAATAAAATGTTTCACTTAGAAATAAAAAGATGATGTAGTCAACAGTAGCATCATCCAACATAACAGACTGTCTTGTATTAAGATTATATCTTGTTTACAAAAGATGACGAGAACTTGATGAATAAATCAATGAAACCAGATGACATGGTATAAAGTTCATAATAAGCTCCATAAGTTTGAATTTTTTTTCAAAGACTTGTAGTATTATCACAGTACTATGTGAAGAATAACAGTCCTGTGTTTACCAAACTCTAAATCATCAACAGACTATCCTGTGATTGTGAAGAAGAGCTCCCCAAAAAAGCTTGTCGGCCAACAGATTACCGACAGGTTACCAACAGGCTACCAACAGCTAACTGACAGGCTACTGACAGGCTATTGCATGTGAAAACACGCAGTAAACATGACCCAGAAACAATAATAGTCAATAAACACGAGTTAAGCTTAGCGTACTTATTGATTGATGGTAAGAAGATTTCTTTCCGAGATGATTAACCAGCAGGACAATCAATATAATAAGGTTTAAAGGTGATTTAATCCAAACCTCAGAAATCCAAGGGGAAAGAAAGCTACTTTGAAAGCTTGTCAGTCGTGTCACTGAACTCCACGTACAAATCACCCAATAACGCCTATTATTAAAAACTGGATCATTGGATAATGCAATTCAAGACTTTTTATTGGCTTAGCCATTATGGTATATGAGCCAATTTACCATAATCTACAAATATGGTAAGGGTACGCCTCAGCTTAAAATTAAAAGGGAGCTAAAAAACTTAAGATTTGGTAAGATTTGTCTAATATCTTGGAGGCGTTTTTAATAAAACAATTATTCCACTCGCGCTTGTTGGATATGAGATGATTCTAGCTAACTCGGCACTACGTGCCTCGTTGGCTATCTATCATCTCATATCCAACGCACGCTCGTGGAATAATTGTTAACTAGTTAATTGGAGGGGGACTGGGACCTATTTCAAAATGGCGGAAAAATAACTCGTGGCAAGATCATAGTTAACACATTGAAAATTTGGCTGTTCTTGGTGGTGTTCGTGCTAGGATTGGTTTCCACAACAACTGTACATACTAAAGTTTCCCATACAGTACGCAGTGCATCGTTTCAATTCACTAATATGGATAAATAAGGTAAAGTTTACGACACGTTGTAGCCGACAAGTTACCGACACTTCACCGACAGGTCACCAACATTCGGCCAACTGTCGGCCATTTGTCAGTCAACACTTTTGACTAAAACTGTTGGCAAACTGTCGGCCGACAGTTGGCCGCTTGTTGACCAACAAACAGCCGACAGTCGACCGACAAACAGCCGACAGTCAACCGACAGTTGGCCGACAGGTTTTTTGGGGAGCTCTTCTCCACAATTACTGACTATCCTTCCCCTCTCATTGATGGCTGAATGTTCATAGAATCAAGATACAACATTGTTTCGGGGGAAGGGAAAACAATATGTTTACTTCACAAGGCCAAAAGAGAAAAAAAATGAGTACTAGTCCATAGGTCAATGTGTCAACAATTTTGTTGTAGATTCTAGGTACACAAATTTTCTATCAAAAATGAGGAGAGCCACTGTAACTGAAAGATATGAAAACAGATTCCATGTTGCTGAGCCTCTGTTCAATAATAGATCACAGATCTATAATTAGAAAACAGGGTAATAATTTATGTAAATTATTGTAGAGGGATTATCTGTGAGATTTATAAGCCACTAACTTAGTCTGCAAAGTAATTTACACATACTGAAAGAAATTACACCATTAGTTAACCATGTGGTGGCCAACCAGAAACCTTTGCCACTTTGGCCACCACACACATTTTTATAATCTGTAGTTTATTTATTTTGTTCTGTAATCATTTGTTGCAACTTTACTTTTCTATCTAGGTTAAATTTATGTAAATAGTGTGAAATAAAATAAACGAACCAATGTGAAATCTAATAGTATGTAGGATACCTATGGGAAGTAAATACGGCGTAAAATCTTGCAGACACTAAATGCCATCTACACTGACCTTTTAGCTTGCCAAAGTTAAGCAAATGGGATTAAAAAATCAGTGGAGATTTCACAAACAAGTAAGTAGATGTGAAGGATACAACAATGTGATAATAATGAATGTCATGTGCTATTTTGTCACAAGATCTACATTTCAGCATGGAAATGAGGCTGCAATCTACAGACCTTTTGGGACACAATAGATAAGGGAATCAGGGCTCAACACTAACAGTAGCACACTAGCCACAGACTCGTGGAAATTCAGTTTTGGCTGGTGGTTTTCAATTTCCACTAGCCAGTTTGGCAAGTAAACAAACTGAAATTGTCATAACATCTAAAAACAGATGTCACTAGCCACTTGGCTAGTAAGTTGAAAAGTTATTCTCAAGCCCTGGGAAAGTGATTAAAAATCAATGGAGACTTTACAAACAAGTAAGTTGATGTGAAGGATACAACAAAGCATTAATAATGAATGTCATGTGCTATTTTGTCATGCGATCTACATTTCAGCATGGAAACAACTCTGCATGCAATCTACATTGACTTTTTGACATGCAAAAGATAAGGGAATGTGATTAAAAATCAATGGAAGCTTTACAAACAAGTAGATGTAAAGCGTATAATAAAGTGATAATAATGAACACCATGTCACTACTCTCGTGATCAAAAACTACAAAAGCATGCAATTTTACAGGGTTCTATCAAAATCAGAACTTTTGTTCATTGTGCCTCACTGCTCACAGAAACAGTACTAGGAATGAAGCTGAATGCACAGATTGTCTTGCAAACCACAGTAACTTGTTTTGTTTAGGGAGGAACAACTACAGTGACTGATTTCTAGTGACTAAGGAAAAAATCCAGCATTGTCATATCTTCACAAAAAAAGTTACATTAAGACAGTTTGTGTATCTATTTAACCACCAAACTATATTATTTGCAATGAAATATATGAAGTTCATATATTCCATATATTTCATATTCATATACTCAACGGCCTGCTCCCAGTTGGCTTGTTAGCTCAATTGGTAGAGCGCTGCACTAGTATCGCAGAGGTCAGTGGTTCGAATCCCGTACAGGCCTGATTTTTTTCAGGTCTGATTTTCGCTATTGCTTAAATAGCGCTATCTACTGCGAGGATCGTGTATCATATGTAAACTATATTATTCTTCAACTTCAAAATAATGAGAATGATCTTTCTCATTCAGAGCTAGATTCAGACTGCCGGATTGCTGGAAAAATCTAATAGAACTCCATGGGGATTCCTATACCAATCAGTACTGGCCATGCAATAACATCCCTCTGAACATAACCTACATTCATTTGGCACCTTTGCATACGCATATAATTATTGTTAATTCCAGAGGGCTACTTGATGTTGGCTCTTGTTATGTACATCAGCCTTAGCAACTGCCCTTTTCATTATTTTTTCCACACTGTTGTGAGAGCCTTTCCCCAGACAGATGTTAAAGTAAACTGTCAGATATAGGAGGGAGCCATTCGTTCTTCTGTTTCTTTTCTGACAGAACAGAAAATATCTCAATTCATCTGCAGTATGTGGCAATATCCTAACGCTTGGGTAAAGATCACACATCAAAGCTTCACATCTGACAGCAACGTTCCTGCTCAGATACAGCTGAGCATGCAGAAGACTTAAATTGCACTTGCCAGTCCTTCCCCTTATCAATTCCAGCTAGGGCAGTGGTTGAATCACAGCCATGGAAAGCCAGAAGGGCATGGCACATCTCCTCTGCTAGCTTCTGGGATGCTGCATGGAGTGGAATATAGTATGACTGGTCTTTCACGTCAGTTTTGAACTGAAATTCAGCACAGTTGATATCAGACAAAATTAATGTGTTACTCTGAGAGCAAGAGCATCAGTGTCCAGTCAGGTAAATTTAATTCAACACAATACTCTGAATGGGCAGCATAGTTGGAAAGCAGCCTTAACCTGCAACATGGCAGTGCCAATTAAGAAATATCAACTATTTCATTATATAATATAACTCACCATTTGAATGTCCATAGCACCACCAAAGAAGCGATGTTTCTCAACTGGTGTTTGCTTCTTCATAGCCTGATCTCAGGCTGTACACATCTTCGCCATGGCTTTTCCTTACTATCACTGTGTGTTTGTCACCACTGAATCCTTCATCTGAGTGACAAGAATCTTCTCTGGATGAAGCTGCTGTTTCCGCAAGTTACCTCACTAAGGATTTTGACAAAAATGAGCACCTTGTTCTCCAGATTAGGAAAACACTTTCTCCACTCTTTTGATATGAGAGTAGATGACCAATGGATCTTAACCTTCAACAAAGCACATTCTCCTGCTTTTGTCCATACATCCAGGTACTGGTTGAAGACAATGTGCACTTCTTTGCTATTGCAAAGGACTATTTGCTTCAGGAGCTTCACACGGGCATTTGATGTGCAGTGGATGATGTTCTGAGCAATACCCTAAATGCACCTCGTCCTCTATTTTGGTTGAATCTGGTTGGTCTAATTCGTCAATTCCAGTTTCATTAGATGTAATCATTATGCAAATTGGCCAGTATGGACAAGGAAGAATGATTAAATCGGCATTCCAACGAATGACAATAATTTCCAAACAGATCAAATATGATACGTTTCAATTTTGATTAAAACCTTTTAATGATTGTGTCTCGCTATTATTTGACTGAAGATATACCGCTCTTTATAATTGCCTGCTTCGTTTTCAAGTCAACCACCATAAGATACTGTTTTAAAAGAAATCGGAATTTCTCACGTCAATAAGATTAATTTACCGAAGCACAACGAGCGTGCGATATTGACCGTCTTGATATTTTAAAAGCATAGGACAAAAATGATGAGGTTAGCAGCCAGGTAGCATGTATCATTGTCACTTTCTTGTATGCTTCACATCTACTTACTTGTTTACGAAGTCTCTATCAATTTTTAATCCTATTCACTAGTCTTATCTTTCCCGAGCTGAAAGGTCCGGCAATGGAGATCGCAGCCTCGTTTCCATGCTGAATTTTAGCTCGCGTAACAAAGTAGCTTTGCATTTTGAAACGTATTGCACAATTCAACCTTATGAACTACCTCAGGTTGATAAGGTCTTTCCCTACTAAAACCTTTCTGTGGCGATGGTTAAACAAAACACCAATTTTCGGTATCTGTTCCCTAAATGGTCCGATCGCAGAATGCATTTAACAACACGAAACACTTCATACGAGCCACACAAACCTGTATTGCATAACCTTCATATTTCCATAACTTTTGGGAAAGGCGAGAAAGTTATGCTTCAGATATTCCTGAAGCACGGTCTCATCGAATTTGTGCTCTGGACGAACCTCTGATAGTTGATCGGCCATATTTGCCTCTAGTTTCCAGACCTCCGTTAAGAAACTTGCTTTCGTTAATTAAGGTCTATGGGCCAGGGCCCCGAAAAAAGTCCTTTCAGTACCACCGGGGGGG